CAGGCAGACTCAGGTCATTTAATTCCACAAAGCTGGGCTCGGCTCCGAACTGGCATTATTTCCCCATGGTTTATTTCCTTCCTTACAGAAGCTGCTTTGCTTAAGCTCTTTTGGGATCTCCTTTCACCATGTTTGACTGTTTGGGTTGCCAGTCTCTTTTTTCTGACTTTTTAGTAGGTTGGAAATTTCAAAGACACAGTAGTACTTTCTCCCAGTGCTTAATCAAAGCCACATTGACAATCCTGTGAGGTGTCACCAATTTAATTCCTGAGTCCCACAAATCACTAGTAACAACCTACTCTGCCATGTGTCTGTGAGGTCCTTTGCAATTCTTAGATGTAGGTTGAGTTTCCAAGTTTGTAATTAGATATTTTTGAGGGTTATGGACTTTTGGTCGGACTACTGTACGATTTCTCCTTTATATGACTACCCAGGTTAGATGGAACTTTCATGTTCAACTCTCTCGTGTGATTTTAGTGACAGTGATTTTAATGATTTTACTTATTGTGAGGCAGCAGTAGGGGAAGTTATTCTCAGATTCACTTTAGAGAAGAGACGAAAACTCCAAGAGGTTAAATGAAATCGGCCAAGTTCACCCAGTTAGTGGAGGCAAGGCCCTTTGGCTTTGGGTTTTGCAATCACCCATGCGGCCTAGATATAAATAGCAATGTCTATGAATTCCATTTTAAGTCTCAAGCCGTAAGATGCTCTAATTCATTGCCAGTTGTGTGCATTTGGGGTGAAGATTTCCAGAACTTGTCTTTTCAAAAAATCTAGAAACATCAAAGCTAAGATTTTTGAAAAGGAAGCTCATGATTTTTTTCTACTAACATGTCCAAAATGTAAATTTTGTAGATTCAGATTGAGTACATTAATTTATTCTTTTTAAAAGGTTGCAATCATAAGTACACCCAGTCGAAGTCTTAATTACATGTTTATTTTGGCCTGACCTAATAGAACTTAAAACTTCATTTTGTAATGTATTTACTTGAGAGGCATAAAAGAAAACTAAAATATGTATGAAAGGAAACACATGCAGATAAGATGGTTTAGTACAAATGTCTTTAGGAATTCCTTAGCTTTACTGATAGAGGCCCTGTTGGGGCGGGGAAGATAGAGCCACATGGGAAGTTAAGTTGAATGGGAATCAAGAGTGGAAAACAAAACCAAAAACAAATCCCTGCTTTTGATTAGGACCTGAAGTGTGTTATAATTGGGTTGAGTTTTTCCCCAGATGGCTCCTGTCAGGCTGACATCTGCAAAGGGTGTGTAGAACTGTTCTGGGGTGTTATCTCAGTGGCGGTGTGGACACATGTTACTCAGTTAAAAGCCAAGCTCGGCGAGTTCTTCATGCTGGTTCCTTATGACACACACTGAGAAACCCTGTGCTTTTCAGACAGGGAGAATCTTGTATGCTTCCCTACTGGAAATGATTTAGCATTCTTCAAAGCAGTGACGATGACCTGGTCTTCTAGCAGGAGTAAATGAGTAACTGAAGTCTAAATTCAAGATGCTCAGAGTCAACATTAAGCGTAAGGTGCAGTTATCTCTCAAATCTGAGAGGAAGTAAAAGTTTCTTTTAAGGTGTGACATATCTTAACATATATTTGCATCTCATATGTATATAATGAAAGCTATCATCATGCAAGCTAATTATTATCCTATTTTTGGCAGGGCTAGGAATGGAACCTCAGGCCTCATACATACTGGCAATTATGCTACCACTGAGCCATATTCCCAGGCTGAAAGTCATAGTACAGCTTAAAACTTAGTTTTCAAGCCAGGCATGGTGGCACATGCCTTTAATCCCTACACTTGGGAGGCAGAGGCAGGCAGAGCTCTGTGAGACTGAGGCCAGCCTGGTCTCCATAATGAGTTCCAGCTAGATGGGGCTACAGGGAGATCTCATCTCAAAAAGACAAAACCAAACAATCTATTAATAATTATTGTCACCAAGCTGTAGATAAATCTTCAGCACTTATTCCTCCTGACTAAAACTTGCTATTTGTTGACCAGCATGTCCTCAGTAGTTTCCAGCAGCCCTCTATTTATCTGTGCTTCTGTAAATTCAACTTTTTTAGATTCAAACACATGTGAGCTCACATCCTCTGCATCTTTTTGTGTCCGACTTATGTGACTCAGTATAATATATTGCGGATTCATCCATGTTGTGAAAAATGACAGGATTCCCTTCTTTTACCAGGAGAAATAGTAGCCTATGTTATTGATAAATCACATTTTCATTATCCATTCATCTGTTGGTGCGCATTTCAGAAAATCCCATGATTTACCTACTGTGAGTAATGCGGTAATCTATGTGGGGTGTGAATATCTCTTCCACATACAGAATCCATTCCCTTTGGATAGGTACACAGGACAGTGTCTGGACATGTGATAACTTTATTTTGAAATCTTTGGAGAGCTTTCACATTGTTTCTGTGGGAAGATTACCAATGTACATTCATTACCCACAGGCTGTAAAGGTTCACGCTTCAAATAGCCTCATCAGAATTTACTATCTTTTGTCTTTTTAGTAATAACCATTTTTATTGTGGTGAGATGATGTTTCGTTGTGGTTTTAATTTTTATTTCCTTGTTGATTAGTGATGTTTCCATTTCCATTTACCCACCAGCCTCTTTTTGTGTCTTCTTTGGAGAAATGTTTGTTCATGTCTTGTGTTCAGCAAAAGCCTCATTTGCTCTCTCACTACCGAGTTTGAATTCCTTATACATTTTAGGAACTAATCCCTTATCAGATACACAGCTTACAAATATTTTCTTCCATTCCATGGTTGTCTCTTCACTCTAGTCTGATGAAATTCCATTTGTCTATGTTTGCTGTTGTTGCTTGTGATGGTGTGGTCATGTCCAAAAGAATCTGCTGAGACCAGCTGGCCTGGAATTCACTGTGTAGACCAGGGTGGCCTCAGTCTCATAGAGATCTGCCTGCCTCTGCCTCCAGAGTACTGGGATCAAAGGTGTGAGCCACCATACCTGGAATATTTACATCTTTAATCCATTTTGATTTGATTTTTTATGTAGTATGAGATATGGATCCAATTTCTTTCTTCTTTTTTAAACTTTTTTTATGTATATGAGTGTTCTGCCTGCATGTGTGTAAGTGTACCCATGTCATGCAATGCCCGCAGAGGTCAGAAGAGGGGGTCAAATCCCCTACAACTGGAGTTATGGATGGATGCTAGCTCCCATGTGGGTGTTGGGATTCGAACCTGGGTCTTCTGTAAGAACAACCAATGCTCTTAACTGCTAAGCCATCTCTCCAACCCCACCAATGTTTTTCTTCTATGTGAGGACATCCAGTTGTTCTAACCACTTATTGAAGGAGCTTCTCTTCCTCGGTGTTTGTTTGTTTTGTTTGTTTTTCCCATTGTATGTTCTTAACACATTTGTGGAAGAAAAGTTAGCTAAAGTGAAAATGTGTGAGTTTATTTCTGGGTTCTCTGTCCTGTTCCATAGACTCATGTGCCAGTGTATTTTGATTATTATAAGTATTTAGTAAACTCTGTTTTAAAGTCAAGTAGAGTGATGCCTCTGGGTTTGTTATTTTTCTTTGTGATTGCTTTCGCTATTAGGGTCTTTTGTGACTCAATATGAACTGTAGTACTGTCTCTGTTATTTCTGTGAGGAATGTTGGAATTTTAATGGGGATTACATAAGTCTGCAAATTGCATTGGGTAGTGTGGATATTTTAACAGTAAAAATTCTCTCAACCCAGGAACATGAGATATCTTTCCATTGACTTTTATTGTCTTAATGGTTCTTTCATCAGCATTTTATGATTTTTTGATGTACCTATTTTTTGCTTTTTCCTACAAATTTATTACAAAATTTTGATATTACAATTTGTATTTTCTTCTTGAATTTATGTACAGATTAGTTGTTCATACATAGAAATGCTGCTGATATTGTTGTAGAATGTTGAAAGAATCTCCCTATAGAACCCAAGCTGGTTTTGTAGTCCAGGCTGCTCCAAATGCATAATTCTCCTGCTTCAACTTTCCTAAGCACTAGATTACAGGTTTGTGCCACCACACCCAACTCTGACTTTTTTCTTTCTTTAAAAAAATTTTAAAAACATTTTATGTGTATGAGTGTTATGCCTGCACGTATGTAAGTGCATTCATGTCATACAGTGCTCACAGAAGCCAGAAGGGGGTGTTGGATCCCTTGGGACTGGAGTTATGGACAGTTGTTAGCTGTCATGTGGGTGATAGGACTCAAACCCAAATCCTCTGCAAGAGCAGCCAGTGCTCTTAACTACTGAGCCATCTGTCCAGCCCCGATTTCTTTCTTTCTGAAGTGTGTGTGTGTGCGTGTGTGTGTGTGTGTGTGTGTGAGAGAGAGATGGTAATCCAACCCAGGGCCTTGCATGTGCCAGACAAGCACTCTACCAAAGAACTATATCCCTGGCCCTCTGACTTTTGTATGCTAATTTGGAATCCTACAACTTTACCAAAACTTTTGTTTTAATGTGTTTTTGTTGTCGTTGGAGCGTTTAAGGTTTTCTATATATAAGACCATGCCATCTGCACAGAGGCAATTTAATTGTTTCCTCTCTGATTAGGATGTCTGTCATTTCTTTTTCTTGCCCTGTAGCTCTGGTTAGGACTTCTAATGTGCTAAGTGAAAGTGGACAAACTAGGCATCCTTTCTTGTTCCTGATCTTAGATGGAATGATTTCAACGTTTTACCGTGGAGTATGATGTAAGCTATGGCTTGTGATACATGGCCTCTATTGTGTCATTCCTTCTGTATCTGAGAGTTTTCACCAGGATGGACATCGTCTGCACTTATCAAGATGATTTTTGTAGGGTCCTCCCCTGGTTTTCATAGCAGGGTAATGTTGACCCTTGGAAATATTTCCTCTTCTTCAACTTTTTGCATGAGTTCTTCTGGTGTTTGAATGTATAAATTAATATTATATTATATGTTTGAATTGACTGACACAAACTATTTATAGTTCATATCTTTCTTGTCAGACAACAGAAAAATCCGAGTTAATGGAACCAAAGAACCCATAGAGTTTAAATCAAAACAGTGGTTTGGAGCAACGGTGAGAGCTCACAGAGGGAAAGTCGTGGTGAGTACGAACTGCTCCAGGAGCTGTTTGCCTTGTGGCGCATCAAAAGTTCAATGCCCATATTTGCTTTCATGTCAGAGGCATGTTAGACTTTCAAAGATAAAGTTATTGACAGCTTTAAGAAATTTAGTGCTTAAAATAAAAAACTGGGTACTAAAAATTAAATGACCTATTTTTGTCCTAAAAGATATAGAAAATAAAATTTTCCAGAATATCAGATATTTTTAAATACTTTAAAAATTATTAGGAAAGATGGAGAAATAAAAGCTATATCTTAAAGAAGAAAATGTTCTATTGCTTAAGATTGTTTGAAAAGGCTTCTTAAAATAGGAGAAAAACAGGTCTAGGGAAACTAGATGCTTAAACAGTTAATCTGTTGTGACTGATCCTTTTTAGAACAACAGAAGTGTTCCTTAATAAGAACTTTAAAAACTGCTAACTGTCAATAGTTCTGAATTCATTAATGATTTTTTAAAGTGAATGACCTTACTCTCAAACAGGTATCTTTCAGCATTCAGATGCTTTTCAAAATTTTGTTTTTATTGAATTTTTGTGTATTTCATATAGAACATCTCAAACAATCTTAATCATCTTTGTACCCTTGTTCCCACTGGCACCCTCCCATAGCACCCCCACTGGAACCCATATATTCTGTCATCAATGTTAAGGCCCACTGTGTCAAGTCAGTGTCCCCAGATGTTCCCCAGTGCAAGTCCATCCACTGAGGTCTAGTCAACCTGTCTAGCTAGAGTCCTTATTTTAGGAAGATCAACTCTTCCTCATCTATGGCTTTGATTCTATTCTCTTATTATTAAAAAGAATTATAAATATCTAAATTATTGAGATATAAATTAAATAGTTCTGAAAGTTTTTTTTTTTTTAGTTTGGGGGAGTTTTATAACTTTAATAAGAAATAGCTTTGGAGTTTTGGGTTTTATTAAAGCTCTTTAAATCATGTTTTAATAAGTATTCAAAAGAGATGCCTAGTTTTATTTAGTCTGTGGTTAAACTCCAAAAGAGATTTTGAAAAGAAACAGGTAAAGTATAAAATACAGATAACTCTCTCTAGTTAGAAATTTATCATTTGCAGTGTACTCCCTGCCAAATTGTATTTGTATCAATATACTTTTCTTCCAGAACTGGTAAGATATGATCTATTCCTCAGTGATATATGGCTTATGAAAGTTACTATTGCAAAGTTATATCCATCCCAATAAACATTAGGGGCTCAAAATCTTTTGGGCACTGTATTTTTCAGTTAAGTTAAAAACCATTGAAAATATGAGAATACAACATGGTTATAAGAAGCATGTTTATAATAAAAAGATTTGATTTTGATATACCTGCATTTTCTAAATTGAGTGGTACAAATAAGACAGTATAAATTATCTTCCAAGTAATCTTTTCTCTTTGAATGCTGAAACTTAACAAAAGGAAATAAATTCTACCTTATATGATATAATTATTAAAACCATGGAATCCTGCCTGTAGAAGTAGCTGCATATCCCAGTTTGAATCAAAACCTAAACACCTGAGCACATCCCATTCGTGTATTTCAAATCAAAATGAAACTGAGAAGATTTTTAAAGGCAACTTTTTGGAACTGATATCAGGCAACCATAGGAAGGAATTTTAGTGGCACTAAATTTCCTTGGTGAGACAAAATTATAGGGCCATTTGGATGATGTCGAGCTGACAGATGAACATGACACTGTCCAGGCTGCAATTTTATCTCACCATTCACACTTTTCACTGAATTTTTTAATCAGGATACATGTCAGGTCACTGAGAGGGCTCTAAGACAAGGGAAGCTAGATGATTAGACAATTTGGGACATTGGCCAAGATTCTATAGTATGTAGAAAGGGAAAAGTTAGAGTTGTAGGAGAGCAATTTACTTATGAACATAGGGTATGTTTGCTAAAATAAGTATTCATTAGACTAGATTGCCAGGACACATTTAGAAGCATAAAATGACTTCAGAATAGGATGTGTTCACTTTTCATCAAATAGAAGAGAGGCTGCACATTCTAGAGTCCTTAGAGATGGGGGCCTCAGCCGCAGAGGACTCAAGCTAACGAATCAGGAACAAAAGTTGATTGTGCCTTGCACACACATGTAACTTCTCTTATTCCTAGCAAACTGTTATTTAATTTAAAGAGAATTTCATATCTTGTTCTTCTTGGGATCTCAGCTACTCAAGAAGAAACCAGATCATGCTGTGATTGAAGCTGTGATTGAAGTCTCATTGTTGTTTAAATTCACTTTTGCTAACAAAACTCCTGATACCAGGCAAGCTGATTTAAAGGCATCTTTTTGCCCTAATATTGTCCTTGAAAAGACATCACAAGGCATGAGCTGCACACACATTCTAATTTTAGGAATGTGAACATTCCTAAAATTAGAATGTGTGTGCAACTCATCAAATAAGTAACTGATATGAAAAATTACATATAAAAACCAAAGATGTAACAACTAATATTATTGTAAAATTGTTTTACCTTCTATCAAAAGTATATGAATTTAACACATTTATTTATTTATTAAGCAGATTTTAAAGCAAAGCTCTAAGTTAAGTGTGGTTGGCAGTTAAATAAATTCTAAAAGAGGCTATAATGTGGGGGCCAACGTCTGTACAGTGTGCGTTCTTCTCTAGCTCACCACTCTTTATGTTACCTGGAAATAATCACGGAATATTTTAATTAAAACCCTTTTGGATAGTTTGCTTTTTTAGAATCAAAAGGTATTTATGGAATGATGTGGTAGTAAGTCATCCCCTTCAGGAAGGTTTTCTGAGGTCATGCAAGTTTATCAGCATAGATATCTCCATAGCAAGCAGAGAGTCAGAGTGCTGAGTTACTTCCCATTGGGTAGCAATGCTTCAGAACAGTGCATAGACCATTAACATGTGCTCTTTGAATGACTTGCTGATCTTCAGTGTTCTTTGGCCTTTAGTTCTGTTCATGAGCAAAAACCATTACATTCAAACGAAGTAAAAAAAATTCTACAATAATAGAGTAGCCCACAGCATGTGGCCACAAATAACAGTCATTGCTTAAAAATTCATAGGATGCTACTTCAGTGATCAGCTAAGGTATTCCACAAAAGAGGCCTGTATAAATCTGTCTGAATATGTTGATTTGAAAACCAATTTTAAAGAGTAACAACTAAGCAAAGGAAGGAATGATTTTTTAAGACTGCTTCATTTCTTATTTGAATGATTATTTGTTATGTAGGTCCAATGTTTTGAAAGAAATTAATAGGAAATATGAGCTCTTTGCTTTGAGGAAGTAATTTTTTTTTCTGGTTACTTTTCGTTTAATTTAAAATTCTATTGTAGGCAGGGATCGCTCCTTTGTCTAGGTACAATTTTTGTAAGTTTTAAAGTACATTAATGTTAAAAATAATCTTTGGAAGTTTAATTAACTCCAACTACCAAGATACTCATTACCATGCTAGAGGCTAATTAGTTTACCTAACAATGTAACAGTGATCTATAACTTAGCTACAGTAATCAATAATTAAAAAGCTATTATATGAGGAAAGCTATATCAAAACTATATATGTTGTCTTTGATATTCCATAGGCCTGTGCCCCTTTATACCACTGGAGAACCCTCAGACCTACACCAGAAAAGGACCCAGTTGGCACGTGCTATGTGGCGATCCAGAATTTCAGTGCCTATGCCGAGTATTCGCCTTGTCGGAACAGTAAGTTATTTTATTCCTTGAAACTGGAATTTAGCTCAAGAGCCTTCCTCGTGAGCATGAGTAAATTTAAAACACACTTGATGGGGCTGGAGAGATGACTCAGTGCTTAAGAGCACTGACTGCTCTTGCAGAGGACCCGGGTTCGATTTCCAGTACCCATGTGGCAGCTATGAACCGTCCTTAACTCCAGTTCCAGGGGAATCCGAAGCCCTCTTCTGACCTCCGTGGCACTGCACAACACGGGTGCACTCACATACATGCAGGGAATACACTCATACACATAAAATAAAAATAATAAAATATTTTTTAAAAGAACACACCTGATGAGTCATAGTGTTTCAGAGAAAAGAGTCGAGTGTGTAGGTTACTGACAGCTTCACAGGATGTCTTGCTGTGAAAGGACAGCCACAATTCAAAATTCCACTGACCTGTGTTTCAGTCAGTTTTTAGATATTCTTCCACAGAACGGATTATTTCCTGATGTTGCTGTGCAGTCAGTTGCTGTGAAAATTCTCACTCCATTTTCTGGGTTGCTGATGCCCCTCTGCTTGTTTATGAGAGCAACAGTGTCAGCTTGCCTGGCTGGATCTGGGTACCTCTGACTTCAGCACAGTGTGACCTCCATCCTCAATGACTGTTGCTTTGTTTAGCAGCAGTGGATTTAAATTAACCTGCACATTACACTTTCTACTTAAAATGTTGAAGCTCCCTTTTTTTCCCAAAAGATGTAGAGTCTAAATCTCATCAGGCAGCTCTAGGACTCTCCCAATAAAGCTTCCTTTCTATGTTTCTCATGCTGGCCTTGAACTCGCTGTGGAGTCCAGGATACTTCAAAATGCCAATCCTCCTGCCTCAGACTCCCAAGTGCTTGATCACAGGCACATACCACCGCACCATTGCAAGGCATTCTTTAAAGCAAACATTTGAGTGCCATCTTTGTGGTGTTGCTGTTTAATCACTTCATCTTTGTGACTTGCTCAAGGACATTGGGATGTCATGATTGATTAGTTAATTGATTGTCAGTTATCTGCTCAGAATTCTTTATTGAACTCCTCTATCTTTCTAAATTCTAGGTAGATCATTGAAGGTTGTGAATAAACAACCAATGGATTTTTATTCTTATTCTTGATAATTCACCAGGATGTACTGTAGAGAGAAAAATGCCATTACAGAAAATAGTCTATTGACTGATTTAAAGATATTAATTTTTCAAAAACTCAGTCTTAAGAGTTATTATAGTTTTATCCCAACCACAAGTAAAACTTCTTTTTGCCTAATTTTTGAATTTTTTTGAATTTTAGATCAATTTGGGTGAGATAGTGAGCAAATATTAGAAATAAATCAATGAAGATAAAGAATTGTTGGGAAATTACAGATTAACGTAGATGCCACTGAGAGTCATAGCTCTGTATCAAAGTTGCACTTTTTCAACCCAGAGTTTTTAGTAATGGCTTCAGCAGGAAACAGAGTGATTTGTTAGATATAAGCTGAATGAATACATCAAGAAATTAAGGACTTTAAGCAGCTTTAAAATGAAGGTTATTTGTTGATTATGAGATTCAATTATGTGTTCATTCTACACATGCTTATTGAACGCATTGTCTGTCACTAACTATTCTATATGCAGGGAATCTGTCAAAGAACTAGAGAGAACAAAACACCTGTATCCAAAGAATGAGCATTGTAGTGGTAGAGACAGAACTAACCGAGATAAATAAAGTCATAATACTAGTAAAATGTCTAATATACATACATGCATATAGCATTACATATATACATGTATATATATCATCAGTGTTAAGAGAGGAAGGAGTGACTTCAGCCTGGAGGAACAGGGAGGAAGGAAGCTCTTTAGGGTAATAGGAAAGAGTCTTCTAGCAAATGATATTTGAAGTGGGGAGAGAAGTAACTTTCAGGCACAAGTAATGGCTGAGTAGTGGCCATAAACAGGGAGGAAGGAAGCTCTTTATCTAGGGTAATAGGAAAGAGTCTTCTAGCAAATGATATTTGAAGTGGGGAGAGAAGTAACTTTCAGGCACAAGTAATGGCTGAGTAGTGGCCATAAACCATGTGAAGCACTTTGGCTCTTTGATGTGGTAAGAGGCCAGCATTATTACACAGCAGAGAAATACTGGAAAATATTTGAAATACTGGAAATACTAGAAATACACTAAAAACCCAATACTGGATTTTCCTCATCAGTGTTTATAACTGTGTATATCCTGTTTTTCATGCTTTGCTGAGCTGTTTCTTCACGTTAGTAAACTTGGTACCATCCTTCACACGCCATTGGCCTTGACACAGAATCTTCCAACTAACATAGAGGAAGTTCATTTGTAAACCCCATCTCTGCTCCTCATTTTACCTTTATGTCCTTGTGATGTGACAGCCTGGGCTGAAAAAACAGCCCATAGAATCCAAACTCGTGGAATAGATGCTTCAGTGTGAGTTTGAACCATTTTCTAAAAATATAAATTATAATTCATCTTGAGTTCCAAGGACATGTTACCATGCCAGTTTATTACTCTCCATTTTCCTAAGTAGAAATATGCAGAACCAATGTGAAATGGAACTCAGCTGCAGAATAGTGAAATGTGCTGCCAAGAATTGTTTTGGTTCCAGTGCACTACCACGGTTTTCTCGTACTCACCGGCCCCATATTCTTAAGTATTCTTCTTCCTCTTCAAACCATCCAAGGAGCAGGCTTCCTGCCATGGCTGAGAAGCTCACAGTGCATTCACACAAAGCTGGCTTGTTCATGACCATATGGTCAATATCACAGAACAGGAACATCAGCAGTATCTTTTTCAAAAGAGAATTGAAAGAAGTGCCTCGTGTTACTTCTACAGCACAAACCCACGCGCTCTGTGAGCAGGGTGGGCGGTGGCCTGCTCGTTCGTCTGAACGGCACACCTTCTGCTCTGAAGACCATTCATGATCAGGTGAGGACAGTTCTCACACCTCCTTCAATTTTACTTTAGAAGTCAGCCATTGGTAGCCAGTGAACAGCACATGACCCTGGATTCCTGAGTTTACACTGGGGCATAAAGTTTAGAGATACTCTGAAGTTCCGGGAAGAAAGATTTCTTTGAGTCTCATAAATTATAATTCAGTGAGAAAACAGAAACAGGCTTGCAGACCAGAGGCCCTCACACGCTTCTCTAGTTGCCACTCAAAATAAACATTTCAAGGTGATTATTTTCTCAATGACTATTTACTGTTTTTTTTTTCTTTTTTTTTTTCACTTTCTTGTTTTAAAGCACAGAATGGTTAGGTTTCTTCCCTTTTGAATAATTTATAATATTAAAA